ATAAAACAATGCCATTTGCAACAACATAGATGGACTTGGAGATCATCATTCTAAGTGAAATAAGCCAGAAAGAGAAAGAAAAGTATCGTATGATATCACTCATACATGGAATCTTAAAAAAAAAAGAGGGCAGTAATGAATTCATCTACAAAACAGAAACAGACTCACATAGTAAACAACCTTATGGTTACTAGGGAAAAAGGTGGGAAGGGATAAATTTGGGAGTTTGAGATTTTCAAATGTTACCACTACATATAAAAATAGATACAAACAAATTTCTTCTCTATAGCACAAGGAACTATATTCAATATCTTATAATAACATTTAATGAAAAAGAATGTGAAAATGATATCTGTATATACATGCATCACTGGGACATTATGCTGTACACCAGAAATTGACACATTATAACTGATTATACTTCAAATAAATTAATAACTAAATAAAAATTAAGATGCAGGCAGTGGTTGAAGACTTGATCCCATGTAGGTAGGATCTGGGTAAAGACTACTAAGTGTCTATCAAGGAGGTGGTTGGGTCTTATCTGGGTCTCATCAGTTCCATCCCTAACTGCTTTCTCCCTCACTTTCCATTCAGTGTGTCCACTTTTCTAAGACACCTTAACAGAATTCGTGCAGATTTGCTGAGAAAGGTGACAACATTCCCCCTTTACAGTCACCTTTCCCACCAGAGCTGTGTCATTGACTTTCACAATGGAATCTGAAACATCATAACAACTACAGCTGATCCTGACCTCAACAGACCGGATAATGACCTCTAGGCACAGGGTGCTGTTTATCCGCAGGGGGAATGACTCCCTGCTCAGAGGGTGACACATGCAGCCTCACTGACACAGCCTTGGGAGAGAAGGGAGCAGAGACCCTTCTACAGCACCATCCAATCAGATACAAGGGTTGGCCTTGGCTGTGTGCCACCTGGGCTTTGAAAATTAAGCACCTGTGGCTGCTCTAGAAGGAAAGAGAGGTGATTGTGAGCCATCCTCTAATGCCCTACAACTTTCTCTCTGACTCTGGAATAAATAACGAAGGAGGCACCACAGACACCCCTGCATCCAGGCTGAGGAGCCTTTCAGGAGTGGGGTCTTCAGGGCAGTTTCCCCTGCCCACTCCAGGACCTCTCTGTGAGATGGCCACTGGACTGGGTTTTGAGGAAGGTGATGTGTTTATCTTCTCAACTGTGTCACCTGCCTTCCTAGGAGAAGGGAGTATGTCTTGTTGACATTTACGTCCCCAACACCCAGCACAGTACCTGACATTTAAAATGGGCTCAGCACATACAGGTTCAATGAACTTAAGTAACACTGTGTTAGTAGTATGAGTAATAACTAACATTTAGGAATCAACTGATTATTTGCTTCTTTCCTGTATAAATTCCCTCTTGGAGACCAGGATCCTATAAAAATGCACTGGAAAGTGTGCTCGCTTCGGCAGCATATATATTAAAACATGCATTTGAAGGTGGCTTAAAGCATTTACAGAGCTTTTATCTCCTGGCTACTCAAAATCAACCTTGCCCCCTACCAGTATCACACAATCAGGGCCAAGGACTTGAGTGCCTGTGCTTGAGTGGCTCTTCAAAGAAGCCCCATGAAAAAAGAGCTCTTGCCCCATGTGCTGAGTGATTTTCACGGCTTACAATTTCTCAGTACTTCAGACACATAGTTAAGAAAAACTCTAATTTATTATCCTAGAAAATACTGCTTTCTCTCTATAATTCATGGGGTACATGCAGAATGATTTTTTCCGGTTCACTCACACAGCTTGCCTTTGCTCTGAAACAATAGGATAAGGGGTGGCCTGGCCTGGATCCTGGACCTTTCAAGAAGCCTTCACCTAGCCCCTGTAGCTGTCACCTGACGCTCTCCTGGGCTCCCCACCAGGTAAGAAGTCTGTCCAGAATCCTGAAGCTAGTCAGTGATGGAGCAGACATGCAAATTCTAGACAATTCCACATCTCATCTCTTATCCATTATTTCCGGTGCAAATTTTTATTAACAGAATCGGAAGAGCAAAGCATACGAGACATAAGTATCCTTCCACCCAGCCTCTCAAAATTCTCCTGTGGTGTTCCAAAGACTCCACTTGAAATTATTTGCCTCTTGCCTCGGAGCCCTGATTACAGACACTTAGTCTTTGCTTATGCAGTGGCTTAACACAAACCCCTAAGAACCCAAGGCTTTATCAACTGATTTCTTCCCAACTCTGTTTCCTTCCACGATGCCCGGCAAGAACCCTGGATCGCGGATTTCCTAGTTCAGCCGATGGCTTCATCAAACTGCCATCCCACGCCTTGATAATCTGAGTGGTCGTTTGGCGCTCTCGCTCCGCTCACAAGTCGGCTCCCCTGACTCGGGGTCAAATGACGGCTGCCTGAGCGCCCAGCACGCGCTGAAACCCGCGGAGCCCGAGCTGCCGGTCGCGTCGTCGAACTACGTTTCCCACAGTGCTCGGGGAAGCCGGGGCTGCCGACGCCCGGGGTTCGGGCTCGCGCGGAGCCTCCTGGGAGTTGTAGTCCGGTCCGCTCGCGCCGGCGTGCTGCGGCGTCGGCGCCGGCCTTCGTCTGAGTCGGGTAGGACGTCGAGGACCGTCG